GAAATGAGGGAATTTTATAGAAGTTGTATGATGCAGGTGCTTCCTCATTTAGGGAGCAAAAAACCACAGGGTAAGACAGTAAGCAATGTGAGTTCAACTTTAACCTTTTCCAAAATAGACCCTATATCAGTAACCCACCCAGCCGGGTTGCTCTGATGGCCTCATTTGCATTGGAACCAAGAGGACATAGCTCATCTTAAACTTAAAAGTGAACTAGGCACAATGTATATGAATTTCTTCTTCATAAACTTTACTGTTATGATTACTGTGATTATTATTAGTCTAGACCTGTTATTTCACTGGTGTATTGAACTTCCATTGAAGAAACTCCCTCCACCAATGTACATCAGCAACTCCTCTGCAACATAGAGTCTTAGAGAGTTATTTGACCCTGAGAGGTTAAGGGATCTGCCCAGCATTACATAGCTGGTATGTGTTAGAGATGGGACCAGAACCCAGGACTTCCTGATTTTGAGGATATCTCTCTACTACGGTTATGTTCTCTCTCTTCTATACAGACTTGAAAAACTTTGGATTTTTTTTTCAATGATTAAGTTGCTAGCCTTTGAAAGAAATCAGAGCATTCAACTAGGGGTGTGCTACAGCCAGCTCCAATTAGCTTTTAAGAGCTGATTGTTAAATTTTTATGCTCATATGTATCTTGGAAATTGGCAAATATTACAAATTGGGACTTGATTTACAGGTTTGTTGATTGTCTAGACTTAAGAAAAATGTTAATAATACAGATTAAACTAAAAGTGTGCCACAGGTCTTTTTTTTCTTTTTTCTTTCGGAGAGCATTTGCTAAACATTTACCAGCACACCCATGGATTCAGCCATTGGAGTCCTTCCTACTTTCCAATGGAATTCAATGTTTGGAAACATGTGTGAGGGTTTACTACAGAAGACTTTGTGTATCATGAGCGAAGAAAAGCATGAACATCAGCAATAAAACAAAATGATGTTGGTACTGTTACAGTCAGCTGCTTGCACTGGCTGAGTGTTCAACCTGGGCCCATGTTGTTTATCTTGCTGACAGGCCTGCCTACCTGAGTGTACCTGGAATGAAGTCAAAGTGTTTAAGAATGCTTTGCAGTTTCCTCATTTAAGGTCTCTTTATGATTTTTTATATATAATAATAATATATCACATATTATATATAATAATTATACATGTATATCATAATAAAATATATTATAATATGTAACATAATAACAATATGTTATAAATATATTGTTATTAATTTTGTGATCTAACACATAGGGTCTCACTGTTACAAGACTTGTTGTTTAGTTGTCTCTGACTCTTCG